TCATAAATCTCCGTGGAGCAAGAGTGAAAGGTAATCTGCTGAAAAAGGAAAAGCGAAGATAAGAATGAAACCGAAATTCCTTTATCAACCGGGATGCAAATGAATGTCGTAGCGTGCCTAAGGAACCAGCATGCCGAGTAGAGGGACCGGATAAAATAAATATCTGTATAAAAACGCGGCAAGACGCGTGGAGGAACAATATTGCGACAGGCGTCGGATTTAGGATCGAGCGGTAGGGGCTGACGCGCGGAATGATGCGCGAGGAATTTATCGAGCATCTCGCCGGGTACGCCGATAACGCGCGTCGCCGAAGAAACGCGTTTCGCGGCCGTGCGGTGGCCTCGCGGCCCGAACGAGAAGAAGCTGTGCCGACTCGGGCCGATCTCGCCCGAGCAAATCTGGGCGGAGTTTGGGGCTACCGAGCCGCGCGCGCGCGCCGCCCAGCTTCGACCCCCGTTCGTCCTTCCTCGCTCGAGCTTCCCCTCTTCGCTGACCCCCACCCGCGCCAGGATTTCTTTCGCGCGCCGCGTGCTGCACCCAGCGCGCATGCGCGCCCCGACACATCCGCTAATTTCGGATAGTCGCGCCGCCAGTGGGCCAGCCACTGTCGCGCACTCGCGTGTCTTCTTCTACGCCCGTTTCTTCCCTCGTTTTCCATCTTTCTTCAGTGTTCTTCGCTTCTTCTTCGGTCCACACTGATTCCTTTCGATCGTGAAATATACGCTTGTATACAGGGTCCGGCCGAATAATATATAAAAACGGATACGACGTGATGGCTCGTGGAAAGATGAGAGGGAATATATACAAAATAAAACTTTTTTTTATCATTACGTTAATTATTCGGAAAATTGCTGTTTGAATTGATTGCCCTTTGGGAATTTTTAATATTTTGAAACGAAGAATATGTTAGTCGGGAACCATCTTCGTAATCCCTGATATATGTGAATTGGTATATGCGTTCGAACGTTCACATGTGCTGTTTTTAAAACGTTTTGTTTTTATTTATTTATTTATTTTTTTTTTCATGCAATACTGGCATCTTTAGTTTTTTTTTCATCTATTTAGGATATATTTTAGGATAGGATCCAATATATTCTGTTCTATGTTTACGATAAATGTTTCTACATGTTTCAGAAATACAAAGCATAAAAATTAATGATTTTTCTGCTATAATATTTAAAAAATAGTACAGAATGCATTTCATAGTTGTGTAATATGGATTGTTTGTAAAACTTTGTCAGGTGAGACAAAATGCTGACGTTTTTTAGTAAATATTGAAGTGAAGGAGGAATTGATGTGGGGGAAAAGGGTGGTGAGAAAATGGTCGTTAAAGTATGCTTCCTAATGAAGAAAAAATTGCTAAAATATTGTAAACAGTAAGTGCAAATATGGAGGTGTGACGATGGAACCATAAATGACCAGTTTCTATTAACTTCTTTAAGAATAGTTATACAAGTGACGAGATTTTAAATTATCTTATCTGAATAATTTATAATCTCATAAAAGTAGATTTTTTTTCTTTAAAACTACATAATTTAATTACAAAATTATAATTATGAATTAAAGACGAATGAAAATATAATTAAAAATTACATATTTAAATTGTAAATTAAATTCAGATAAAAAGTAATCGGATTTGTTATCTACACAAACAGATAATAACTCATAGGATATTAATAATATTTTCACTTCCCAAAATCTGAAAATTTCTTTATATTTATATCCAGAATAGATATATCTAACTTTTCAATATATTTTAATAAAATTTTTAGCCAGAACTATTAAAACTGTCAACATAATTATCAAACACTGAAGTATTAAATTTAAGTGTAATATTATTCCATGAAAAACTACCTTTAATGATGAACCATATAATTCTATTTCTTTCAGAATAAAATCATAAAATCTTTCAGTATTTATACAAATGTCCTGTATTTTATTCATTTTACTCATAGAATGGTCACTATAATACAGATAAATTAGGATCAAAATGAAATCAAGTATCAAACCATAACGTAACCAAAATTAACCCTTTGCACTCGAGAGGTGACTCTTAATCATCGTTTGTTTTAATGCTAATGATATGAATGATGATAATTATATTAAAAGCATCAAAATAAAATTATTCTATTCGTTCGTTTCTCACGCAAATTCACGATTTTCTTTCTTTAAATTTAGCATAAAGAGTATCAGCGAGCTTATAAAAATGCAAGAAGAGCTTCGAATTGCATTTTTACAATAAAGAAATCTTCGAGTCTAAAGGGTTAAGAATTATTTTCTCATCTCATTGCCAGTCAAAATCGAATCACGTAATTATATACCAATTTTCAAAATCTTCCACGAAATAATCACCAGAGCAGTGTTTTAAAATCCCCAGTTTCCCCTGCACAAAGAATTTATTTTTATCGTTCCATGTTACACGCGAGGGTAGATCAAATCCTCTAAGGGGTCCTCCGCGTTCTTTTGTTCCCTTTCGCGCGTTAGAATTTATCAATAGCCTTTCGGTGAAATCTCGGCTTGCCCGCTTTTTTGCACGCATCCCACTCGTCGAAACAAAAGATGATGACTGTAATTTTCGCGGAGAAGTGTCTGCATTGGCGGCTGAAATGACGCGACGCCAACCCACGCGTTTCCTGCGCCGCGACAATGGAGGAGAAGTGGAGGAACGCTGTTTCGCATAGATGCTTTAGTCGAAAGGGGATGTCTATTAGACAATAGACGTTCGTTCATCGAATATTTCCCATATTACATGCGTGCAAGGTTTCGATACATACGCGTAGGCCGTGGTGCTTATTGTAGTGATCGTTCGCAGTGATAAATGACGAGGGAACTGAATATAAATCGTAATATTATTTACCTTTTTGTGGAAAATGATGACTATCTGCGTGAGAACAGGATAACTGTCATTAGAAAAATCATAAGTTAATGATAAATTAATAATTGGATCGTTTGGTGACAATTATTGTGATGGTGGAACGAAATAGTACACTAACAAGGATCCCTGATCATTTTTGGACGTATACAGATGGATTTGCAATTTTTGAATTACATGTTGAAACCTTTCGAAAATTAAAATTCGAAAATTATTTAGTATAATATTGATCTCAAGAGTAATTTCAATTTCTTGGATTTCAATTTAGAAATAAATTGATGAAAGTAATTTTCTTCCATCTTTGCGGAGATTCCAATTTTTATAAATTTTTATTTACTGAGTTTTAGAAAATACAATTTTCTTCGTCAACCACAATTAATATTTTTAAATAATAATTTTGATAAGAATGATTTCTGCTTGGTACAAGAAATTTCTACAAAACTACTAATTTTCCCCAAAATTGAATAATTCGAAATATCCATTGAAAATAAATAAATAATTAAATTAAAAATACCTAGAAATATTCATTATAATAATTCACTTGATTTCCGTGCACAACATTTCCCATTCTAATAATCCTTTTCCAGCTTAACAGCCATATCTTATACGAAACTTGACTTCAAGTTCCATTGGCAAACTTTCTCCAAGATAAATCACGAAATTAAATACTAATCCAAGTTTCATCAGTATGTTCGATCAAATCAGATAGCAGACAGTAATCGTAAAATTTATTAATACAAATCATTAGGATATCAGGTATCTCCGATTACGCAGCCGGCTCGTTAAACTTTTACCAATCTTCCTGGCAGATTGAGCAACCGATAATTCCTATATAAATTAATCAGCAACGCCAATAAAATCTTATCATCCGTAAATTTCGAATCTTAATGTGTCTGTGAGCAATAAATGTATTCGAAACAGAACGTCTCGCAGCTTCGAATGAAATTAATAAAAATCTCCCGAAGACGTTGCATGCTCTGAAGGATTACGCTCAAATCCCGTTCCCTCGCGAACGAAACGCATCTAATATCTCGCTACAGTGACAAATAATAAACGAGAACTGTTAAATTTAATCGACAGTGTATCCCGATTATCCTTTGACTGACAAATCCAAGTCTCTTTATGCTCTATCGAGTTAACGTTATTATTAACCGTGATCCTGTCGCTTATGCTAAGCTGGTACGCAACTAATGGACAATGATTATGACAGCTTGTCGTAATCGATTTGGCGAGTAAATGAAAAGTAGTTCAATATCATTGATCGTGTACACCACGTGTAATTATTTTTCCAGATTCGACTAGTCGATATTATTATACTTCTCTGTGGTCAAGACGCTGTATTTGAATACGAAAGTTTGACAACTTTTATCTGTGACTCTGCTTTTTAAAATTTCTCTTAAATTTCAGTGTCTTAAATTTCCAAAGCACGTGTGGTTGTACCTAAGTTTTCATCTTTAAAATAAATTTCTATTTTTTGATTTATGGAGTTAACCCCTTCGCCAGTAAGCGTTTTAAGGCAGCCTTAAGACGACTTTGCAATTAAATCACTAGCGCCACCACGGTTCATATCTCCACTAGTTTAGCGATTCCATTTTAGATTAGCTTGCAAAAGTAGATTTTCATTACTGTAATATAAGAGGGTGTATTTAATATAAAATAAGTGAGAAATTAATTTTTCTTATATTCTTTGCTTAGGCTAGTCTCACAATTACTGGCAAATATATTTTCATGTAATTCTTTTAAGACATCCATAATTACGTATTTAAAGAAACGAATGAACTTATCATGATTGATCAAATGACCACTGGATGAAAAATGAAAGAAGAATCTTAAAAATAAATGTAATAAATCGAAATATTAAAAAATTGATTATACGTATATTAGAAAAAAAAAAAAAAATGATAAGAACAAGTGACCAAAATGGTAATATTGTCATAAATTTAAAGACACTAATTTCTGAGCTATTTAGTATTAAAAGAAGTCTTTTCCTTTTTCTTGATAAAAATTATAATTTTCACATAATTTTAGTATAATACATTTTCCATAATTCGTAATTAATTCATACTCGGTCGCGTAATTAAAGGAAAAAGCGTGTGTTTATAGAGTGTCTTCTCTTTTTTTCTTGCAGAAAGCACAAGTTCGCATTGCGTGGGATGTGGTGGTCGAATTCACGACCAGTGGATCTTGCGAGTTGCACCGAATCTGGAATGGCACGCTGCTTGTTTGAAATGCGCGGAGTGCCAGCAATTTTTGGACGAGAACTGCACCTGCTTCGTGAGAGACGGGAAAACTTATTGCAAGCGTGATTATGTCAGGTAATTCAGCGTTTCTAGTACTGTGATAAATAAATTTCCAACGTGTCCGTAAACCTTCGGACACTGGTAATTAATTCTCCTATATATAGAATCAAACGAATCAAAATGATACGAATATATATCATTAATTTATTAAAATACCCGAAAGCTGAATTTATTTAACACATTGTTAAAAACGGAAGTAAAATGGGTCCAAATTTTATTTAATCAATTATTTAACTTCACACTAGTAATACACTAGTAATGTGTATAATTTGATAATTCTATTTAAGTCTGAATAGATAAAAATATGAATTACCAATTTTTCGAGGTACCCAAAATTTAATTTTATTTATTTATGTTATTATTGTTAATTTCAACAAGATGGACGCTTACATGCAATGCGAAACATTGAAATGATACAAATATATATTACATCTTAAATCTAAATTAATATATAAAATATCTTTAGATATCTTAAATCTAAACTGAATACTTTGGAAACACAAAAATTACATCATTTTTACTTTTCATCCTTCGTCTCGTAACAAATATGTACGCGGTTGATTTGGAGGTTAGGATTGCCCAATTTTGCGCGCGAAACTAACTACTAGTACTACGTTATTTAAAAAAACATCGATACAATTATTATATCGAAACAATTCGATACTCAGACAGTTAACCTACAAAACTATAAAATAAATACTGCCTAAATGAATCGAGAAATACGCTCGACGACTATCAGGGGTTCTCGAAGAGCACGCGAGCACTCCCGATACGCATTTGCAAACGGCGAGATTGAGGGGAAATAAAGAAAAAAAGGGAGAAAGGGGAGAAAGAAAGAAGAAGGAAGAAGCCAAGAAAGTAAGAACTGACAAAACGTTTCTTCGGAGTATTTTTATCTAACGGAGGGGCTGCGCGCGGAGAAATGCATGTGTAACAAAAAGCCTGGTTCACACGTGGTTGCGTCGAACTTAACGGAATTGGGCGCAGAATTCTTTCACGATGTCGAAGCCTCGAAGTTACGCGACCGAGACAAATAAGCAAATTTCGCTGCCTTCCGACAGCAAAAGCCAGGGATAAATAAACATTCGAATGGTTGGGTATTATGAGTATTGTATCGATTTATTCGTTTTTCAATTTATTTATCGTGAGAAAAATCGAGGAACTCGGTTAGTAAATTTAGAGTGTAGGGAGACGAATTAACGAGGAGGTGGTTTTAAATTTGTTACCCATGAAATCGAACGAGGCTCCTTGAATAATGGAACGGGGTCCTTTACACGTGTAACTAGATGCACTTGAATAATCACTAGATTAAAGAGTAAAGGAAATTTCGCGCTTTTGCTTGGACCAAAAGAACTTTTCTAGTTTAGCATCTTCATTATTTATTTAGAAATTATCAGGAAAATAATAAATAAATAAATAATCAAAAGTATAAATAAAAAATGATAATTCATTTTCTGATAAGTGGAAATGCTAAAAGTTCTATCGAAGATACTATACCTAGCATGGTCACCGAATTCTTTCTAAATTATCTGTTTCTCATTACTTTGACAAATTTTCTAAAAATTTGCTGATAAATAAAGATAATTTCCACACGCTTTATCATTATTCAAGATTTCAAAGAACATTAATTTCTCCAAAAAATTTTTACATTTTTGGAAAAGAAAATTAGATTGTACTCAAGTTAGAATGCAATATTGAAAACTGAAAACGATTGAAACACTAAATTTTAGCATCCTCGTTAGAAAATGATTGAAAAGTATCATTGGTAGCAATTCATTTTCTACCTGAAACATTAAAACCTGTACCAAGACGCCATAATTAAATCCCAGCTAAAGCCCAAGATTTAGAACTTACAAAAAGCTCATAAAACATCCCAAACACCCTGGCGAAAATACTTGAACAATTACCTATAAACCCCAATAAACCCATAGAATAAGATACAAGGAAGGTAAACCGTGCTTTCTCGATCGACGAGACCTAAATAACGCGCCATATTGGACGTAACTCGTTTTCGAGAAGAAAGAGGGAAGCCTTTTTAAAAGCTCGCAGCATCGATCGACACGATTTTTCCGCCTCGAAGCTGTGGCAAATATTTTTCTGGCCCGGGGACAGCTGGTTTATTTGCATTGATCCATCGAACGTCGAAACGCGTCCGAAACGAAGAAGAAGACTGGCGTATCCGGTCGACACGGATTTGCCAGGCCTGAGAGACACCGATGACGCCTGTTTGTTGTTTCTGTCGCCTCGTACGAAAAGTCGAAACAACCGTGGGGTAAAACGTTTCCTTCTGGGTGTTCCGAGGCCCACACGTCCTCGAGTAAATTTGCCTGTCGACGCATGCAACGTAACCGAATCTTGGAATTACGCCATGAAAAAGTCGCATCGCGTTTATAACTGTTTGTGTAATAACAGGGGAGCATTTTGACAATAATTTCTGTTACCAATTCGACTGAATTATTATTGTAAAAGGTTAAGAGTCTCGTGAGGTATCTTAGAGAAGTATCGTTCGCAGCTTATTTACGAGTTTGACGAGGTTTGAACGTGTTTGAATAAAATTTTGTTCGAATAAAAATGTTCTATAGTCAATTTGGCATTTCTTTCTCTGTATACAATTGTTATTAATGGTTTCTATGGTAAATTCTAGAGATGCAAATGGTGAGATGTTTTAATGGAATGGTTGAAATATGTTTGATTAGAATTGTTTTTAAATGAGAATATTGTTTGATAATGGTTTCATAATTTTTGTACACAATTTTTTAGCAGTTGTCAAGATCACGAGTGATAATTAAAATTTGAGTAATTATTAATGAAGATTTAATAGGTGTGAGGAACATTAGGTATGGTTTGAATATGTTTGAGAGCAATTAGTTATTTTTCTCATTCAAAGTTTCTGCTTGTCATCTGAATAGTAAATTTTAGAATTTTTAATGGACCATGTCAAGGAAATGTTAGGTGAAATTCTTTTATACAAGGATTTCCTCATCCACCTCTATAATAATTATTACTAATTAAAATTTGTGAAACATTAATAAATTGATAGATTTTTACGAGGTTCGAATACGTTTGGTTAAAATCATCTTCCAAAAAAGAATATCGCATAATTCCATACTTCTTTCGTCTTCTTATAAATTTCGATGAAAATCCAAAATAATTTTATTATATGTCACAATAATCTAACCTAAAAATTTCATCGTTTGAATAAAATAACACAACACCTTCCATTTTAATCCAAATTGATCTTCGTTAAAATTCAGTCTCTGAACATTCTCCATGAATCTTTAATTAAACGATCTAATTCATAAATTACTAACACCAACTACAGATCAGAACTAAAAATACAACCATCTACCGATGAAAATAGCCCTAAAAATGAAAGCAGAATAAAATTACCGATTGTTCCCCCTGAATCATTTTGACTCACATTCATCGATCTTTCGTCGATCTTCCGCGAACATCGCCGATTTTTATCATCCCTCTGTCCCAAGGGATCGTGGAACAAGCATGTTCCATCTAAAACGCGATGTTGCAGTACCTATTTCAGTCAATTATCGACGAAACTCCGTGATATAATTATTCGAGCAACTGATAATTAACTGCACTGCCACCGGAATTATGTATCGCACGAAACTTTTTATTAATAAAATTCGACAATTTAGGAAGCATCGCTAATGAATGCAATTTAGTTCGTTCGGAGAAACTGGACGAAGTGCTGCAGGCAAGCACAATTAGCTTAAAAACCGATAATTAACTGCTCGATCCGGCGGCCGAGCGGAATTTCGCGGAAACACGTACTACGTACAAGTCGGACGCAAATGGAGACAATAAATAAATTTGCCGGTAAATCTGAGTGGGGGGAAAAAAAGGTGATAATTTCGATGCTTTATATTTAGTGGAATTAGTGGGATTTCGAATGTTTTGGCGCGAGTTAGGATAAATTATGCAGTACATTGTTACGTCAGGTTTAATCCGGTTGTTGGCAATATTCGATTCTGCGAGCATAATTTTCTGCACTTTTGTCAGATTTGGAAATTCGTTGAAATTACGTGGTACGGTGTTTCTGACGATGAATGATAAATTATTAAATGTTAATAACGTTAGAATTAATATCGTGTTCTGTGTGCAGTGCAATATTGATGACAGTGAATAATAAATTGCGGAATATTGGCAATAGTGAAACTAATATCGCGTGTATAGCACAGCATTATCAATGATAAATAATGTTATGCATAATAAATGATAATAAACGGTATAAATTATTAAACAAATTGCATTATTAATTATAATAAATTATAGTTAATATTATGTCCTGTGTATAATATAACATAAATTACGTAAATTGTATAATATTAATTATAACAAAGTCGATATCACGTGACTCGATTTTTCAATTAATTCTGAAGCTTCCAAAGAAGAAATTTCTTCCATCTTTATGAAATTTCGGTTATGGAGGCTTATAAGGAATGTAATAATAAATTGAAAATTCGGGAAATATTATCCATACAGAATTAATATATTTAGAGTGATGTCACTTTGTAAATTTTCATAAAATTCTTAGTTAAAATTATTCCTGTGTCATCTCTTTGCAAAAAGGCATACAAAGAACATTGAATCTAGCGAACGTTTACAAAGTATGACGCAAGAGAGGATCGCAATTGATTAACAGCGTTGAGTTCTCCTTTATTGGCGAATTCTATTATGTCCTTTATTGGTTATGGAACTCCGAAATTGCATAAATACGTCACTGTCACGCTAAAATCGTTACAAACGAATGTAAAAAGGCATTATCAAAGGTAGAATATTTATCATAAAGATTATTACAACGTACGTTATCCGTTATACATATTTCTTTATATAATTAACAGAAATATATACATTAAAAAAGGACATAAAATATTATACACAATATAATTCGATATAATTAGAAATAAGAAATTTCCTTAATTTTACTCAATATACAAAAATTAATATACCCATATTGGTACATAGAAATCCCACTAATATTAAAACTTTTTTATTCGTTCCTCATTAGGCACAATATTCACAAATAAATATTCCATAAATAACCATTTTTGTATATAAACTCATTTTATTTAATTCCATTACCAGGCAATTTACCTATCATAAGAAATAATCAATACCATTTAAATAAAAATTTTTAATATTTTTCAATCTTTCTTATTTATGGTATTCTATATAACCCCCATCTATTTTCTTTATACCACTCAAAACTTTAAACATTAAATATTGTAAACACCACTACATCTAGCCAACTTCCTATACTTATAAAACCAAATTAATTAAACGAAACAAACATGGCCTCCTAAGTTCACATAATGGCCCCCAATCTTCACATAACCTCAAAAATTCTATGTCAATTTCTCGAGGACTTTACATGACCCCTATTAACAAATCCTAACCTAGAAAAATTACTCCTCCAAATCTCAAGCACATTATAACCCCCACAAACTGGCCATTTTCATAAGCAAAGAATTTTCCTTTCGATAATCAAAGATACTCCAATAGTTGCTGATAAATAGATGATCTTTGTCGAGCCCATCGAGCACAAAGCACGATCGAAAACGAGATTCTGAAAGAATGGTTAGCATAGGGAATTCGTTTCAGGTTGTTCGGGACAAAGTGCGACAAGTGCAGCGAATGCTTCAGCAAGGACGACTACGTGATGAGGGCAAGGAGCAAGATTTATCACATAAAGTGCTTCCGATGTTCAGCCTGCATGAGGCAGCTAATGCCAGGCGACGAGTTCGCCCTGAGACAGGATGGCCTCTTCTGCAGGCACGATCACGACGTCCTAGAAGGCGGGAAGCTGTGCTCGGGGCCTGGTGGCGTTCCTGGAAGTGAGAACAACAACAACGCGTCCCTTATGAATAATAATCACCATCTGCACCCCAACGATGGCTCGATATCAGGTAAAGAAACATCTACCTATCTCCTTCTTTATCAATTTCACGATGAGCAAAGGAAAAATGGAAATGGTGCCCTAAAAGTGTTCCTAATGCGCTGTAGGAGACACATAAAATAGCAAAATTCGATTTCAAGTAGTACGAACTGATATAATTATCTTAGAATCATTAGTAATGCTTATGACTTTTTAAAATTAGTCAGCAGATTTGATAAATTGAGTTGGCTAACATCACAGGAGTCACATCAGCATACTAATCTATAATTCTACTATATTCCACTATCCACTTTTGATTAAATGTTTCATGGAAATATGGAACAGCAAAATTCATTCATTCCCAAACACCTAAAACGTGGGTAGGTCTCAGTGGAAGAATAAATAACGGAATTGTGTTCACGTTACTATTACCTCCTACACAGAGACATTAACATCCAGGAAGATGAACCTGACACAGCGCGATATTCCGCAAATGACTGTTTGATAGGATAACCGTACCCTGACTTTTATCACGTCGACGTGAGCCCGACCTATTTGCGGATTACATTGTCTGGACACGGACTATCAGGGCACAAAGGGCAAATTTGCGAAAGGGACTTCGCCGAGGGGAAGCACAAAGGGTCCTTCTGATATAACAGTGTTGTATTAGGATCACCGGTCATAATTAGGTGTTGATAATTGAAGCAGTTAAGACCCGAAAGGCTTGACCACTTCCCTCCTACGCGCAGGGATTACAAGGGATTAGCGTTCCACGAGCTAGACCTAATATGCGAGCACGTACTGTCTCGCTCGGATGGATTAAATATCTAATAAGGCTCGCGAGATGATAGTAATTTAATTACGTTGCACAGTTTATCCTTTGGTAAGTTAGCAAACGTTGGTTGGAGTAACTGAACCTGATGTGAAACAGGAGTAGCTACTGTAGCTAGATCATCGATAGAGGAATTATTAATTCGAGAAGGTGTCTGAATTGAGTTTGAATATTTTGTTCTCAAAGTTTGCCAGGTTTCATTATCCTGTTAATAGTCTTCAGTGAAGGATAAAGTTAGGATCGTGCGTTGATTAGTAATATTTTAGGAATTTTAGGCAAGATGACTCTGCTGACAGGTGACTTTAACTTGTTGGAAAAGATAAATTGATCTCTATGATAATTTGAGATAATTCCTAGGTTATTTACCTTTCTGAATAGCTAGTAAATATTTATCAATGCCAAGGTTATTTATGTTTAGTATTTATTTAGGGAATAAAATATTCTTTTTCTCTCTTCTTCACTTGATTTGTTTGAAAGGTTAAAGAATTTGGAATCTTTTCTTGGTCATTAACAATAATTATCTACTCGGTATTTATAGAATTAATATTTCGATTTATCTGAATGAACGAATGATTTTAATTAGTCTGTCATTGAAGTACGGACAACATTAAGCTTTGACAAGCAAAATTAATAATTTTGGGATCCTAATAACTGGATTAACCCCAAATTCCTTTATTCATCTACACTATCGCGAATCTTGGGAGACACATCTGTATATGAAATTCGCATAATGTAAATAATAATTACTTACATATCTCAGTCGCTCTTGTTCCCAAACTACCTAGGTAACTGTTACTCCGTTCAAAAGACACCAACGGTTATTCCATTCGGAATACCCGTTACTCCTTACTATTATAAATACACCAGTTATTACTCGTTATCCTCCAACTATCGTTCTCATAACTAAAAACCACAAGGCCACGATAAATACGACGAAAGTCGAAACGAACTATAGAATCGGTTCCCACAAGATCTCTCGCGCATCCATTGAGCGTAGGCTACCGTGCGCCACCAAACGAATCTCTAAACAACCTCTAAACAGCCGGTTAACCGGTGGAAACAACGCGTGCAAGGAAAGCCTGTGGACACTGAAGAGTCGCATGGAAAACGCCAGAAGTCGCGATGGCTGATTACCCATACGCGTTCGTGTCCACTATCACTAATTCATTATTTACACGAGTCCAAGATAAATTACATTTGGACGTTCGTTCTAACGACGTGGCACGACGCCGGGTTAATCGGTGATAATTGGAAATTGTGTAGTAGAGGACAGAGGGCCTAGGTGAAACGCACGTCTCCTAATTCTCGCGTAAACAATTTCACGTAGGATCGTCGCGAGCCAGCGTATTTTCCATGATGTTTGTCACTTGGCTTCCTATATGGAAATCGTTTCGCCTAAACCGTCTTTTCCCGACGCGCGAAGCCCACGGGCCAAGGCAGAGTCGACGGCCAGTGGTTTGACAACTCTTTACAGAGGAGCCGAGGTGTCAAATGTAGCACCTCTCTGCCAACTACCGTGGCACATAACTACGCACGATCTCCTTCATTTCTTCTTTTTATATTTATGGACGTTTATTCAACTTTTTTTCTTCACCTCCGCGCTCGGCAGTCGCTTCCTTTTTCCTCGCTTTTAATGGACGGGGCCGTCCACCGATACACGTATATACCTACTGCACACCGTTGCTAACGTTCTGCTACAGTCTGACGATTTTATGTCTCGCGAAGATCGGGCACCATTTGCCATAGATACGTGTTTGGATTTTATCACCCGTGGGGACCTCTGGATTCTTGGTTCATATGGAATCATGTTATAATTATTAAAGAACTTTGGAAATATAGGAATATTATTTAGAAGCTCAGACCTGTCGGTTAACCTGACAAATTACTTGTTTTTGAGGCTTAATTGGTTTAATATCCGGAATTATTTGTTCATCTATGCTGTTATTTATATTATTTATCTGCGTTCAGACATAACCACGGTAAGTTCCTAAATTCAGGTATATTAAGTACCAAATTTTTGATTCGTGATTGCTTGGGATTTTTCGATTTAAATATAATCGCATAATCGTGTCTTCATTGTACCTCGGAAATGAAGATACACGCCACGCGACGTTCCTTTTTAGAGGCGCAGATTTAATCAGGCAAACCCGCGTAATACAACTAGCGCCACGGAGGCCGTTACTGCACAGAGAACCGCGCCGAGTTGGCAAACAGCGATAAATGGCGCAACGCGCTCGTTAATAATAAATCGGTTTCACTTTAGCCGATTTCTTCTATCAGTTTTCACATTCGCCGGTACCCTGGAATCGTCTGGACTCTCGCTCTCTCTTTTTCCCTCTCACTGGAGCGGTTCTTCCTTTGTGGCCGCTTATTTGGTTAGGACGCAAAAATAGGCGCAGGATTTCGTTTGCTCGGTTGCCTTTTCGTCTTACCGTCCGCAAACATTCGATTTCGTGCGGCTACCAAATCCTTCCGAAGGACACCGCCAAGGAAACTGGATCCTTATCGCGGCACGAGTTACTTATTACTCGTTAATTGGGAGTTAATGAAATTCGACGCTCGTCCCTCGTCCAGCCGTTTACATATGGGTTTCGCTGTTTGGTCGGCTAAAAAGTGTCCGAAAGGTTCGTGCTTCTTCTTCTTCTTCTTCTGCTTCTTCTTTTCCTCTCTTTTCTCCCTTTTCTTTTTCTTTTCTTCCTGGTGCAGTCGTTCCGGAGGAGTCCGTTCACTGATCGATGCGGCTAACAAGGGAGCTGAGCCTGAAAACTCGAACGCTCCTCTTCGTTTTATATCCTTCGCCGGTTTGTAGAGAGGTTCGACATAAATATCGGGCAATTTCTATTTGCTCGTCCGATGATAATGGATGAGATAAAGCTTGTAGTACATGGATATGGGGTGTTGATGAATTTTCAGCGCATAGAACGGTAGTTGAAAGGGAAAAAGAGATATTAGGAGGAACGTATGAGCGTTCGACGAGACAGAGACTCGATGATATTTCTTTCACTTTTTCTGCTTCTTTGGAATATGATTTTGAACGTGTTTCGTGACGTTATGCAAGGTTAAGTGAGATATTGTGGCAAGAGTGATACGCAATGCTGATTATGAAAGTGCCTTGAGTCATATATATTTTGTCATTATAATAAGTAACTATATTATATTATATTATATTATGTATCATATCATGTCATATATCATATATATTTTGTCATTATAATAAGTAATTATACACTGTTATTTCTTGTTATCGTAAAATAAATAAAAGTAACACGAAGGAAGTGAAAAATTCATTTTTTTGTTATTTTTGACTTACTTGGAGAGTGTTGAATGTATCGAAGTAAGAGAGGTGAAGTTAGGTTATTTATTTTCGCGTTTTAATTTGTTGTTTTTAATCGTAGGAATAATTATAATTGTTCTAATTTTTCCAAACATAAATGTAGAATAATATATATTTGGGGATGGATATAAGGAATCGTTGAAAAATAAGAAGTTTCTGTAAAATAATCTTTTTCCTAACTTACGCAGACTGAAAATGCTTAGTACTGGAAAAATAACTATGAACAGTTGGAATTATGGCAGTTATTTTTTCTTAAGCGAAGTATGCAGTAGAATTATGTAAATTTTGAGTAAGCATATAAACGGTATTGAAACTAGTTTTAATACAGTGAAGTTGTTGGAACAACATTCCGTTTATCAGATAATTTACCGGAAATCATTAGATGACTTGGAACACTTAAGTAACGTTTTGCATACTTCTCTATAAAACGTTAGCAAAATTGAGCAAGATAGAATCGACGATTTCTACATTTCTACTTTTATTTTTGAACATTGATTAAAAGTCGCTTATTCCAAAATTATTACTACAGGTTAGATTAATTCTAACATCTTGTACAAGAAGTGATTGCAAAATTGAAGAAAATGTGTTTATGGAAGTTTAATAGGACAAATATAACTCTAAAAGACGTTAATTCTTTGCTTGCAAAAATATTAGAAAGATATTGGAAATATTGGAAATATCAAAGATATTAAAAACATTGGAAATTATTGGAACTATTGGAAATATTGCAAATATTGCAAATATTGGAAATTATTGGAAATTTGTGAAAATAGTGAACTTCTTAGAAATTATTGAAAACTTTTAAAAACATTGGGAATTATTGGAACTATTGAAAATATTGGAAATATTGCAAACATTGCAAATATTGGAAATTATTGGAAATATTGCAAACATTGCAAATATTGGAAATTATTGGAAATATTGCAAACATTGCAAATATTGGAAATTATTGGAAATATTGCAAACATTGCAAATATTGGAAATTATTGGAAATATTGCAAATATTGCAAATATTGGAAATTATTGGAAATTTGTAAAAACAGTGAACTTCTTAGGAATGATGTAAAATTTCTAAAAATATTGGAAATTTGTGAAAATATTGGAAAATATTGGAAATTATTGGAAATTTGTGAAAACAGTGAACTTAGAAATGATTGAAAATTTGTGAAAATATTGGAAATTTGTGAAAATATCGAAAACAGTGGGAAGACGCTGAATAGATATCCCAATCTTGCAAAACTATTCGCTTGCAATTATTTCCTTCAAATGTACGCGTTCACAATTCTCCGAAATTCGATCGAAATTTGCGCGCGGTTTCGCGTGAATCGCCTGAGCCCAGTAAACGCCAACACTCGAAACTTTTCTCGATCGTGCTCGATCTTAGGGAGCCGTTCTCGAAGGCCTTCTAGATCTCTCTCGCGGGGCCTGGTACCGATCACGGAATCGTGGCCAAAGTTTGCTCATCGACAATATTGTCTCTGGCCTCTCGAATAGTCAGCAGGCGTTCGTCTTCGCGTTCTCCATCCGCCATGTTGAACCACTATCCGGATCTCCCATTAGCTGGCGAAGAACGTTTTGCAGGACCGGTTAGGACGATAGTCGCGGCCGGACATTCTACTCTGCATTCTCCTGATTTAGTCCCGCTGCTCTTCACGAGAAGTTGGCTTTTTTCCAAACAACCGGCGAATCGGATCGGGCAATAGCCGCTGAAAGCAAACAACGGGAATCGCCATTCGAGCAACGCTCCCTTAGACCTCTGCGATTATTCCTTATTCATTATTATACTTCAGCCTCTCAACACTGTAGCTACCGGTCAAAATCACTGGTTTCGCATATTTCATTCTTGCAATTACCGAACCTATACAGATACTTTCAATGGAAGTAACGATGATCTTATTTTTATTCTATTCTCACAAAAATTTACTATTACTGTCAAATTCACTATCTTAAGAAAATTAAGATGCATAGCAAAATTGAAAAATATACAATTACCTCTGATGAAAGTCATGTACACTAAATTTTATTTTTATTCTAATTTCACAGAAATTTGTTTAAATATAGTATATTTAGTTACACTTTAAATTAGCATAAAATTTGGAATTCTTGAGAAATAAGTTTCTCTGTCAACTCATCAACAGTCATAGGAATTGACGTTCATATTGCTCAAAAAATTCCTCTAAAACCTCTAAAACTCGAAATCCACTTTAATTCACTCGCTATTACAACAAAAGCAACGAAAATACCTTCGTCTGAACGATAAAGTACACCTGCCATGTCATTCGTGTGCCATATAGCTGTAAAAATACCCCAAATTTCTCGCGGTAAGCCATGGAACGAAGGGAAAGGAAGGGCGGGCCGGAACTGTCACAGAAAAAATGAAGTCTCGACTAGAAGATCGACGCGAATAATCGTGATGTTGATTTGTTCGCAGACTCCGGTTCTGAAAGCGGGTCGCACAAAGCTGGCGTGGGTGGTACTCGAGGATCTGGCGGCCATAAAAGCGGTGGTGGCTCTGACGGGAAGCCAACCAGAGTTCGCACCGTTTTGAACGAGAAGCAGCTTCACACTCTGAGGACCTGCTACGCCGCGAATCCGCGGCCGGACGCGTTGATGAAGGAACAATTGGTCGAGATGACTGGCCTGAGTCCGCGCGTGATCAGGGTATGGTTCCAGAACAAGCGGTGCAAGGACAAGAAGAAGACGATCGCCATGAAGCAGCAGATGCAGGAAAAGGTGAGCATTCGAGTTTTGGAGTTTTCAATTTCACTGCAATTGCAATTAATATTCTATACGTAGCTGGAACTGTGACAGCTCCAGGGTTGGAACACTGGAACTGTCAAAAGGGTCAGAATGACTTGTTTCAGACTCTTCATATTCCTTTCTGTTCCTCAGATACTTTTTGACAAGATCAATAGTGATTTTTCATTGCTATAGCAATTCAATAGATCCTGATCCCTTCATTTATGCAAAATTATTAGCTTACCACGATATTAATCGAAAATGTCAACACAATTAAAAATTCTAATCAAAAACCTATAAAAATTGAAATGACTATAGCAATTCAATTGGTCCTGATTTCTTTATTTATGCAAAATTATTAGCTCACCACGATATTAATCGAAAATTTCAATACAATTAAAAATTCTAATCAGAAACCTTTCTCCTTTTATTTTTTATTTTATCATTTTAATTATTATTGTTTGTGTATGTTATATGGTGTATATCATAGGAATCATAGCTAGTTTTGGTATTAATTTCTAAAGCCATTCAGACTTGTCTGTAATACGAATCATGAATTTTAAAGATTTTGGTAGTCAAAGGTATCCAATAGTTATTTCAAATTAAACTGTGCTTAGGAATTTTGGAATTTTGATTTCATTCTGATTAGATACAGATCAACGTCTTATTTTACTTTTGCAGTTTCTTTTTTGGCAGAGCTAGACTTGTTTTGTAGGCTGCTGTTAATTTTTATCTGCGTTTATTTCCTATATGGATTATAAGTACACTCTTTTTTGGTGAAAACTGTTTTTGGTCATCCAAATTTCTAATTTCTTTGAAATTTAATACTGTACTTTGAAATTCTTATTTTTGTTAGAAAATATCGATTCGATATTACATTTAACGATGGGAAAAATGTATCATTTATACTGGTCTTTGCGTTCGAAGCCGCAATTTAACGAACGAAGGTACATTATGTTGCAGGATGGCCGTAAATTAGGCTTTGGCGGTATGCATGGAATTCCCATGGTGGCCAGTAGCCCCGTGAGACACGAGAGCTCCATAGGAATGACGCCACTGGAAGTACAAGCTTATCAACCACCGTGGAAAGCTCTTTCAGACTTTGCCTTGCACACTGATTTAGACAGGCTAGATCCTAACACCCCCTCTTTTCATCACCTCGTGTCACAGGTAATTAATTGCTTCCAAAAATTATTATCTTCTTAGAATTACATTAAATTTGAATTTAAATATTTTGAACAATTTTTAAAATTGATTATCCAATTTTAATTTATACAACAAATTGTCAGTATATCAAATTGTGGTGAAAGTATCATGGGTAATTAATAATTAATAATTAATTCCAAAAATTTTGTGTAACAAATAATTGCCAATATTTTAAAGCAAGGTATATTTTATAATTGCAAATTTCTTTATCTTGAAAGGATGTTGTACACAATTATTAATTATCATCAGAAATCTGCATTGCAGTAGCAAAATTTAACAATCTCCAACCAAAATTTCAATATTTCAATATAAAGTTTAATAAAAATAGATTATATCCAGAATATGAAAATTTTCATCATTGATTTATATATAAGGCTAGTGTTTCTGTTATAGTAAATTTACAAACTAAATTCCTATAAAAATTTCTTTCTCAATTAATTCTAAATATTCTTAAAATTACAGTAATAATAAAAAAGAAGGAAAAATGGTTAACAAATAATGAAAACCATTGATAATAAAAATAATATTGGACAGCTGTACCCCCCTACTAAAAGTGTCAATTGCAAAGCATGTACTTACGAAATTCTCGAGTTTCTACCGAAAGAATACAAAATTAATTTTTAATTGCCTCAAATCCAAAAATTGGTGTCATCAATCGAAATTACCAAAGTTCAACAGCGTCTCGGCGTTTATATACCTATAGTACCCTTAACTTGCAATCTTTTTCGCAACATTGTCGACGTTTCAGTTGCAAGAAAATGCTTTCAGTCTTAAATATATAAAATATTTAATTTCAGATGCACGGTTACGATCTCCACAGCGGACCACCACAATTACCACCGCCGGGAATGCTTGGCGGGCCAATGAACGACGGTGGAGGCGGCGGGGGTGGTGGTCCTCTGCCACCCCCTGGTCCACACCACCCTAACAGTGGCCCAGACATGGGACAACACCCTGACAGCACGGATAGCTATGTAACTTACCTCGAAAGTGACAGTGACTCCCTTCATCACGATACAGGAAGTCCATAGTGTTGTGCAGTGTGGCCAGAACGAAAGTGTCCGCTTTCTTCGTGGTCTTCTTTCAATAAGTGCTTGAAGAGAATCGTAGTCTGCGAGAACAAATAGGGGTGATTACGAACGGCTGGAAACGGAACAGAAATCAGTTGGAAGAGTGTTAGCTTTTCTAAAAGGAAGCTTGATCCTTCCGCGCTTAATTCGATCATCCAGGAGAGATGTAGATGAAATATGTTTTGATCGACCATCTTCTCTTTCAATCGAATATTTTTAATTCGATGTACTCTCTTTTAAAATGGAATATTCTTGTACCTGAATTCCGTGGTTTGATGAGACAGTCTCATCGTGGATTCATCTAATTCTTTCTTATGTGGGATGATAGGATTATTTATTGGTTAAATGAGTATCGTGCAGGATTATCATTGGTCTATAGAATCGTTGTAGTTAATTGAACAATGATTATATCATTTTAGAAGAGAGACAAGTTTGAAAATAATTGATGCTTGTCAATGGAATCTTGTGTGTAGACTTACTTGTGATTAAGAGGAGTTTTTAATATTTTCACAACGAGGTCCACTCAAATAGATAGCTATGAATCATTGTGAAGTTATTTAAGTACCCTAATAATACTATATAACTACACAATAATTTTATACGTTACAAAAATTGCTTTAATACCTGAAAAATGTGTCATCATCTTAATATAAAGAATTCTTAGATTATTAAGGATTAAAAGAATTGTTATAATTAAAGCGTTACAAAAATCACCTAACAAAATAAAAATCAATTTTTTATCCTTCAGGAAATACTTTCTGAAATGAATTACAAACCGATAGCTATAAATTTTATAATTTTATAATGTCCTCCAACAAAAGTATGCTATAATTAATACATTTAAAAATATATTCTACAATTATCTCCAAAAAATTAAATTTCTGCGCGGAAGGGTTAAGAAACATCGATGTTTTCGACAAAATGAAGCAAACTGCATGAACGTGTACGATTTGCAAAAACACGAGCTTAAAGTATCGAAGGTTCAAAGCAACGCTTCGAATTGACCATCTCAACGATCGAGAAACAATCGAAGATCACTGTAATTACGATCTATAGACAGGAGCATGCGTATCTGAAAAGCAAATAAAAAAAAAATTAGTAATAATCATTCGACGTATTATTTAACCAAATCGTACGCCTCGTGCTCGATGTTTCGCAATTAAACGTTTTTCTTTCTCATCGCGAACGAGTGAAATTCAATGGCGAACGTTCGCGAGAAATCTCAGGTAGAATATGTATAATGGTACACAAACGACATCGACAAACCGTATTTTGTCGATCTAATAATTGCTCGTTTGTTGCGAAACAAAAAATTATATTTAACGGACAGACGAAGGAAAAGGGTATGTGAAACACTGCGCCGATATTTTCGAGTAAAACACACCCCTGTAAATCGATTTCTCCACGTGGGATAAAAGTGATTGAATAATTTGCGAATTAAGGACAAGTTTGTGAACGCGATTATCGTAATTTCCAAAGTGTGCGAGAGAAAATTGTGTAAAAGACGATTAAGTTGATTACATATATATATAGATCGATATATATAGATATGTCGAGTTAATTTACCATTATATCGATATTTTTAAACGAGATTCGCCCTTGTGCACTGAAGTTGTGAGTCGATAAAATTGTGATCGATTAATTTCAAGATGGCCGCCGCGAACGACAGTCGTGAATTCGTGAATCGTCGTTAGGTGCATGAACTTTGATTATTTAAGTATTTAATAAATTTAGGAAGGCAACTGATTCGTTTCGTTCATTGTTTATCCAATTTCAGTGTATCGTTCGCGGGTGAAGGGGTGCAATAAGTATAAAAAGGGAAGTTTCCTTAGGTCAAGGTGTTTGCATTAACATTAAAGGGATTGATTGATTGACTGATTAAAAGCGATCGAGTTTGTACATGAAAATCTGTTCTGCGCCGAAGTGGAGCGATTGAGAAATAATAATTCGAGTTTTTGTACCTCCGTGCTTTCGATGGTTATCTTTTTTTTCATTTTCCGAATTCCATTGCAGCCAGTTCGAATGACCAAAGAATGTTTTTAACGCAATAGAGAGACAAAGAGAAAGAGAGAACGACGAGGAAAGGTCGTAAACAGAGTTGGACACGTTTGTAAATCTGCGAAAATAAAAGTTAGAAATTTAAATAAAAAGAATATTTCATTGTGATAAATAAAATGTTCATATCGATAGCTTTCTTTATAACGTAATGTTTTTTATTTTTCCTTAAAATCATGGTATTGCAGTTTTATTTCAAAATTTTATTACGAATAATATAATGATACGATTGGATATTGATCTCTAGAATAACAAAATTGGAAAGAATTACAACTTGTAATCAGTTCATTGAAATAAAAATTTAATACCAACATTAATAAAAAGGCATGAAAAACGTATACAAGTGAAATTCATTCTATCATCTGCAAGATATAACGCGTACTATATTACCTGTCTTAATAAATAATTATCATATAAGTATTTAGGGACACTTATTCTAACTAAATAAAACATAACTGTGGCTACATTAAAATAACACTTTTGCCTATTATAATTTTGGAAAAGTTTTCTGATCAACTACTTTTGTTCGAATTCATCGCTTCAGGAACATTATCTATATAATTTCCAAGTACTATTTAAAATTTACCGCCAACGACATCTATGATGTCATTGACGACAAAGAAAGAAAACTGTAATTCCATCAAGTAAAAATAGTGGCGAAGAAATGTCCAACTCTGTTCATTCGACCGCATCGTTGCCAAGAAGAAAAACGTGAACGACCATTTCACACTGTAAATATAATTGTGTCCATTATAAATCTGAGTCATGATGTACCGCCGGGCGCAGCTAATTCATAATATTGAATACACGAATAGCCAAGTCACGTATAAAGGGTTTAAAAAAAAAAACATAAAAAAATGCAAGTAATATTGACGATAGCACATTACCCCCACCCCCTCCGCTCCCTTTCGTTTTACGTTGTAACAAATCATATTGTAAACGCAGATACTGTACATTCGATTAATACCAAAGTGTGCGGAACGTCATGCAAACGCGGGAACGCACTGAATTGTAAATATGTCCCTTAACCTTACTCTTTCCCCAGTTCCCTAACCTCGTTGTCGCTAATTAGTGGTTCGTTTTAGTGGTGATTCGTTTAGATGTTTGTATAGAATCGTTCCACCACCACTCCTCTTGTAATGTACATGTTTCGAAATGGAGAACACCGTAGACCTAAAGTTTTCGTAATCTATTCGAATCGTCTTCGGATTTGTATAATATTTCTATACCGGCGCACACGTAATAAACTGTCCAATTAAACCATTCGTCTGTCAATTTAATAACGTACCTCATGTCCCTAAATATACATTTTGAAAGTTTTATACTACCCTGGCTTTTTGTATATAACAATACTTATAGCATATAAATAACTTTCTCCTATTTTCAACGCTTCCATTTATTAACATTTTGTTACAACTTACGATGACCGATTCGATTCCTTATAACTTCCTGAAAGCATTTTTTTCTATGCAGTGTAACTTCAAAAATTCTGGACACACTTGAAACGGTTAGTGAATCCTTCATCTAAAAAGACAAAGTTATTTATTATTTTTAACTACATATATTAAAAAAAAACATGTTTATATATTTGATTAAACGAGTAGAACTTTGTTTAATTAATTTTAATTTAATTTTAAATCATAAAAATTAGAAGGATTTGTAATAATTAAATAGCATAACATATTGTAATTTTATATTTTATTTAAATAATTATGAATCCTTTTTACAATTAACTATTGACAAAAGTATTATAATAAATTTTGCTCAAGCTAAGTACTCGTTAAAAATGACATTAATTATTCCTTATAAATATTGTACATATTAAATATTTATTGAAAAAAATATATAATTTATCATATATAATTTTATTGAAATTATATTGTTGATTGTAAGAGTATTGAAAAGTGGAGACATACAAAAAATATTTGAATTATGTCTTCTAATCAATGTGTATAATAAAAAAAAAAAAACTTTTTAATTTAAGATGAACCAAGAAGAAAGTAATATTTTTCATTATCAAAGCAAAGGAAGGATAATAAACTGTTATTATAAAGGACTTATTGTAAAACATTAACATTGGTACATTAGACATCTATCGACTTCAGACGCAGTACATTGCAAAATGTATGAACTAAAATAACTTGTAATAAAAAATAAAACAGAAATAAAATAAAAAGTCGGTATGCACTGTAAGCTGCTATACCAAAGTATACTGTGAATCAGGTATATGCGTAGAAAAACATAGTTATTCACATAAAAAATAGTATTTCAAATCTTAAATTTTATCATTTATCAATAATGCTAAGGCTTCTACAATTACAAAAAATAAATGCAACAATTGTATCGATAAATAAGATACAATCGAGGAATTTAATCGACGATTATGAAATTGAAGCCTATTGAGCAGATAGAAGACAGTGTATAAAAAGTTACAGCAACAATATTTCCAACTTTCGTAATTAACATTCAAATTTCTTTTAGTGATTTATATTACATATAAATCACACACATCTTGACTCATGACAACCCTTACTGCCTGAACATTTGTGTTATTGGTTAATTGTATCTTATACATACAACAAGAACATACTAAATACATATAAATATTAAATAATGTCTCACATAACTATATATCCAACATGAACTGTGTGTATATATATGTGTGTGTGTATATATATATAATATTATCTAGTCTAACATTAAATAATAGAAACAATCTTGTACATTGATGTAATAATAAGCGTACAGTATGAGTGAGCTTACAATTATAGGAATGTATATCGCACGAAAGATGTGGGAACATTTATTGTTCTATGTCAGCTTTCAATAAGAAAAGATTTTTATGGCATACTTTCCAGACAACTTTTAACATGCTGCCAAGCTTGCAATCCCTAAAATTATTTATAACATCAGTTTATTTGTACAAAAATATTAAATGAATTAAGTAGTGATGCATAAAATTTTACCTTTCTAGCAAGTTTAAATTGTAAAATACAGTAAGCTGCCAAAATTTCTTTTAGATCCAGCACTTTCTGACGTTGAAATCTTTCTATGTCCATCATTGCTTTAATAGAGAATGACCTAGAAATATTACATGCAAACTGTAGAGGAATATGTTATATGTATTTTTATAAAATATTTTTTTATCTTTTCACATAGAATATTTTTATCATTTCAATTTTGTCATATGGATACTGTAAATACATATAAAATTTTAATATACATTACATTGCATATGTTATGTACATTAAAAAAAGTATTTAAAATATATTACTTTAAATCTTCATCCACTTGTTTAACAGCTTCTTCATGTTGTGCAATTCTTTGTTCCAATTGCAATATTTTTAACTCACGAACTTCTTCTGTATCCACGGATGCAAATAATCGTGACATTAAACCAGATTTACCTATAAGAACAAATTGCATTTCATTAACAAATAGTGTATCCTTAATTGTCATAATAAGGATGTATAGTATGGTTCTAAACCTTGTATAATTTTTTCTTTTTGTTCAAATGTTGTGGTTAAAGCATCATGAGCTTCATCTTTGGCTAATTGTAAAGCTTCTCTTCGTTTGATAACTGCTTGTAATGCAGAAGCACCAAACAACCATTCTTTTAACTGATCTGCTATTAGTTCTTCTTCTTCAAGTGTTGTATCTATTGTCGCTGCTAATGAATCCAAGTAGTGACCCGATTTCTAAGAAAACAAGCTGTAATGCAGTGCGCTTTGCAATATATATACTTGTGATATACTTTAATTATTTTATCATTTAGAACTTTTTCACAATGCTAGATACTCGAACTTCTTTCATAGTAAATGTGTTGGAAAATATTAATACCTGTAACCCATCACCCATTTCCCTTTCTATGGCACTCCATTCACTGAACACACGACCATAATTTGCATGTAATTTGTACAAACTATGTTGTTTTTCTACAAGTCGCGCACGTACTCGTAGAAGATTACATAAATTATTCTAAAATATGAAAAAAGTATTATTAAAATTTATTTATTAATTATTTCTCAATGATGAACATACCTGGAGCTCAATTCCATAATTTTTTATTGTTTCAAATCGTTTGTCTGGTTTCCTTAATCGCACTGCTACAGTCAGTGCTTTTAATTTTGATTCTACTACTTGCAAGTAACCTATTACAAAACAATAGTTATAATATTTGTAATGAAAATAAATAATCCATAAGATATTTCCCTGACAGAATAAACAATTTACCGGTCTCTTTTATACTTTCTCTCCAGCCATCCTTTTGTTGCAGAAATCCCATAAAATGTTCATCACAAGATAATATAGGATGTGAGGCTACCCTCAATAGGAAATTCTTAGAAACAAATTTCTCATAAATATTAAGTAAATACTAAGTAAACAAATAAATGAATATATATAAATAATATACCTCAAGACCAACTCTACGTCTATCAACAAAATCTGGATCAAATGTATCAGTGGTAACCTTTTGCCACGCATATAAAACTTTTTTTTCTGGTAATGGAGGCAGTACAATATATGGATAAGAAATTTCTAAATAAGCTCGGAGCAATTCAAATTCTGTGTATCGGCGCCATAGAGAACTTACTTTGGTGAGAGCACCTTTAAAATCTGGATTGGTAACTCTATAACAATATTTGATATATATGAATATATTGTAGATTTCAAAAAACTTTTGCAAAGAATTAAAAATTGAATACTATTATTTTATTTTGTACTTAAAAATATTCCTATATTTATTTTATTACACAAATATTATATTCACTTACTTAGTCTCAATGAGGTAGACTGTATAAAATTCTCTTAAATTCAATGCTCCATTTGCTCGCTTTTCAGTCTCAACTATTGAGATTTCCATGTGATCAAGCAATGAATCCTAATTTATAATATAAATAATAAAAAGTTTAAGATATAAAAAATACAATGGTTTCATTTAATATATTTGTAAATAATAAAAATAAATTTACAGAAGAACAAATAAACAAATTTTAAATTTCATATAGAATATTTATTTATTAATTAAAAAAATAAATAAAGTTCACATAAGTAATTTTTATGAAATATTAATAACAATTTATTTTTAATGTTTATGTATACTACATCATATTCAAGAAAAACAAAAAAGTGAATTAATAATTTTATACGTATTAACTTTTAAAATTAAAAGTACAAAATTTTAGAATGTGTGTTATTATTATTAAATTGTCCAATAAAATAATATCTGATAATAGTATTTTACGTTAAACTGTCTACAAGCCCATTGAAAATATCATAGGTTTAAATACCCTCTATAATCGCATATATATATTGTAGATACCGCCAACATGTGTGCAGTGGTGCTCAACCAAATAGGTTTTGACCTAGTTCGACGCTTTTCCAAATAGCATAAAAAACTTATATTTTCTATCATTAATACAAATAATTTTCTTAGAAAAATGCAATATTGTTTATTTTATACAGATCTGGTATATTCAAATAGTACAAATATCTAAAAATAATTTAAAGCTAATCTATACGACACAGACATCAACTAAAATATAATATATTAGAGAATATCATAAAGGAAGCAATGATAAAAAAAACAAATATGATTTTTAAAAACAAAAATGTAGAATAATTTCAAACAAAAAATAAGAAACATATACTAACAATAACAAAACATGAGAATCACTGTGCGTCACCTCGATTCTTTCTTTTAGTGCACATACGTTTTCAGTGCCGTTATTTACCACTTCTTCAACTTAAACAAATATAATTTCGCTGCTTGTAAAAATTATGCGATAACCGTAATATCCGGAGAGCAGTTTCAATAAGAACATGTTTAAAATAATAGCGTCGAGCGACGTATTGATTTGGCGGACGAATTGAAATGGTCAAGTAATCCGAGTTTCTTACCTCTTTTTGTGTTTCCATAGTTGTTATGTTTGCATTCGCCTCCCTCTGATAATTTCCGTTCTGAAACAATTCTTCCATGTTTTCGTGCCGGCCTAAAAATCTACGAAGCGGCAAAGGAACTTCGAAGCCTTTTACATTACGTCCACTTTCTCCATTACTGACAGTGTCACTTTACTCGATGGAGCGCTGTACGTTGCACCAGGCTAAATTCCCTTTAAAATATCCGATAATGAATGATTCTATCACAACTTCTTTGCATAAATATTTCATCGGTTTCGTAGGTATATTTATTGCAATTTTAATTTTGACACAAAGAATTCATTTAAAACATGATTACATTTTATAAATTATTGCATTTTCCAAAGTTTACGATTATTTTCTAGGGACTTTTAAGAATTACATTGACGCCGGAAGTTTCCAAAATAGATCCATGCAGTTGATTATGAGGGGTAGAATAATTTGCGCACACACTTGTTTAATGTTGATGCGCGCATGCAGAATCATCCCTTTGCGAAAGCTTTCTAGACGTTTATAAATACGTCATTATTAATTTCAACACTTTTATACTAAATATTAATTAATAATTACATTAAATATTTCTATACAAAAATTTCATTATTTTTATAGCAATATTTCAATATAAATATATAATTTTTACAGTAACATAAATGTAGCTATAATTTGTAAAAAATGTACAAATTATTAAATTCATTGTTAATATTAAGTTAATATTATGAATATCAAGTTATTAAAGGCATAGACTTATAATAAGCGTAAAAAAACTATTAAATCATTGGTGATTATTATAGAAAAGTAATAATTTATAAAATTATTATAATGTAATATAAAATCGGTAATGGTCGGGACTTCTCGGTTGATCTTCGGTGAGCTGTGGTCATTGACTTATATAAAGGCTGCAATATCAGAATTTCATTATTGTTATTATGCTGTGTTGAGTCGATAATATTGGAAGTAATAATTTTATCTTCAAAGGTAAACCAGTTGGCGAGTACATAAATTTAATTTTATATCGAAGAAATTTCGTACAACACAAGTTTATTCATTTCATATTGTTTCGTGCTTGTAAAGATATTACATTATTATAAGCAAATCCGACAATCGCTAAATATGATTTGTTTTTTACCGACACAAGTTAATATAAAGACATTTTCTGATGTTTATTATTCTACTACCATCACATGATGAAGAGGAATAAGAGAATATGTTCCAGAAAAAAAGACAATTTTCTTTAAAACAATAATAAAACAAATTTATTATATAACAATGTTATTATCCTTTTTTATTATATCGTTTTTGAATTCTCAGATATTAATTACTGTCAAGTAATATTACCTATCAATTCATTGGCTGACTAAATTATTAAAAATGATGAAGACTATTTTAAAATTATTTCATTTCACTCAATCGCGAGATTCATTAAAAATCTCATCTAGAACACACACTCGTTTTTCAAGCAGTATAAATTTCACGCATATGTATAAAATGAGGATATCTTATGATACACTAGTGTAATTGTATTGTATTTACATATTTACATGATGAAAAATCATGCACCGAAATTACACAATCGACAGACCAGGGACAAGATATATATTTACAAGCCATCTTCTCAGCTATAGTCAGCTGATTACATTTTATCTGTACACATTGTCGTCAGGCAAGTTGCTTTTTCTTTTCGTCTTGCGACTGTTTTTGGGGAAGAATGGTCACTAATAACGCTGATACTGAAAAAGTAATGTTTAATGTAAGACGAAATATAATGATATATAAGAAATGATATTCATAATTATTCAAGAGAATATTTCAAATCTTTTTAGAAAGTTGTTTGATTATATAAAATAATATATATTTTTATAAAATAATAATGATTATGATAACTTAGCAACAATAATTTATTAGAATTTTACCTAAAGAAGCGGAACCAATCATAACGAAGGGTCCCAAGCAGGACAAATTGAATAAAACTGGGAACAATAGATTCCCTATGACAGCTCCAATTCTGCCAACCATCATAGTCAGACTAACCGCCATGGTTCTGAAGGGAAATATAAATAATTGGTTAGAATGAAATAGTGAATAAATTATTGTGACATTGAATATCGTTATACCTTAAACAAGTAGGAAAATTATCGACAATAACGTTTACAACGCAGGCACCACCTATACTCGACATAGCTACGAAAACAGAACATAACCCAAGAATACTGTTGGCACTTTCAGCCCAGTAAAGTGAGGCACAACAAGCAGCTGCAACCATAAAGCAAGTAGCTGAAAAAAGATAAGTTATTGAGAATATTGATATTATTTCATATTAAGCTAGTCATTATACATAATATAATAAATTAACATATCAGTTACTCATGTAATGTTCTTATGAAAATTATAAAATTATTTACTTCATTAAGGATACAATTATTAACATTGAATGAAAAAATATTTAGTATATACATCTTACCTATTAGCTTTTTTTTTCCTACTACAGTAATTAGTGTCCCTGCAACTGTATATCCTACAACACCGGTAGTTGCAATCACAATTGAATTAATAAATACTTTTGAATTTAATTCTGCCTGAAACAAAATGCATACAGATCATAAATATATACATTGTTATTGCCATAGCAATGTGTTTTGTACAAATAGTATTAGATTTATAATACATCTAAGCAATGTGTGTTACTTAATCTGACATTTTGTTGTTAATTATTTAATTTAGATGTTGGAAATATTCTTCAAAAATTTTATCAAATAATGTTTTCTTGAATATGTAGCTTTAATTTTTGAGTATTTAGCAATTTGTAGAAAATTGGAGGAAGACATACAAACAAAGAAGGAAATAGTTTTAATTGTAAAATGTAATACCGGTATGCATGTGTGAGTAGCATTTATAGTTTCATTTACAAAACTTATTGAGGAACTATGATTTGCTTGTCGTTGACCTAACATGTAACAGAAGCGTGGCTGCGAGCTCGAATATTCGGTTTTTGTGTAATCATTCTTGAAATGTTCCATCATAGTGAACAATTGAGGCATCCATAGTCTAATCGAATTCGACCTATAAATTGAAAATTTGCCTTTAGTCTACATCATTCATTTCTCCTAAGACTTCACAAACGTTGGCTCTTGAAATACATGTACATTTGATGTGCAACTCGATAGAAAAAAAGCTAATATAATTTGTTTATACAACGTTATTTGTGAAAAAGAAAAAATTACGTAATGAAGAATTAAAGATTTTCGATATTCTTAATATCGAGTGATCAAAAATTATTAAAATATTCAGTGTTCGCATAATTAAAAAGTCAGTCGTGAGAAAAACGCGTGGAATAAATAAAAATTCGTATTATATTGTTTCAGTATGATAAAAAAATATTTGATATAATTTTTAGTAATCATATCTTTTAATAGTCACAATTATGGCTGTAACTATGAAAAATATAACGAAGTTAAAGTTAAACTAAGAAGGAATTTTAAAGTTGGATTTTTTAACAAATTTTTGGAAATAAAAAAAGTAAAAAAAAAAGACCGAAAATTTAATTAGTCTAAAGGTATTTAAAGAGTCAGCAACAATGAAAGTATATTCTGAAAAAAATTCATTTGATCTAACCCTATCGTGGCTCCCAGTTGGATCATACCAATGGCGATAAGTTTGAATATGTTAGGCGACAGAAAAAGTGGTTTGATTTGCTGCCAGCAGGAGCGCAATTTGTCCTTTATGCTGTCGCTTGCTGATTCAACGGAATATTCTTCCTCGAGATCCTTTATCTACAAAACATTATACCATGATTTCATATTCATGAAATTTATTAGACAAGTGAATTAATTGTCACTAATTATCTTCCGTTATTACTTCGCAAGAATTAACATAAGTGCAAAACATTTCTTTGACCATATATGCATTATGCAACAGAATAAACAAATAGTGAGGTTATGTAAGAATGGATAACATAAATGAGAACTTACATCAATTTCGATGAGTGACATTTCGCATCGTGATAATAATCGTGAAGTTAAAACAACTTATAATGTTCTTAATTATTTTAATATTTCAAAGTTTCATTAATTATCACACATACCGTATATGAATAACTACTAAGAAAGTGACTCACAGAAACAAACATAAATTTCAATACCTCCACCCTGTAATCACACGAATAAATTACACGACTAATGTACCATTTAATTTATGAGTACCATAAGCAGGAAGACACATTAAGACTGATGTAATTAAAATCACACCTAAAACATATACAGGGTGTCCCAGCAACGATGGCATAACTGGGAAGGGGGTGATTCTACGTGAAAAAACAAATCGAAAATAAATAAAATTTTTTTATTCGAAGCTTCGTTGTTCAGAAAATCGGCTTTGAATATTCACAGAGTACGCTGGTATACTGATGGTCCACCCACCTAAGCCACATTTAAATGCACGCGTGCTCTGTGAATATTCAAAGTCGATTTTCTCGATAACGAAGCTTCGAATGAAAATATTTTATTCTTTATTTTCGATTTGTTTTTTTACGTAGAATCACACCCTACCCGATTATAGCACCGTTGTTGGGACACCCTGAATATATCTACCTCTCTTATAACAAGAACGGTTTGGCCAAATACTATCTCTATGTGATTTATCTTGGAAGGGAACTTGTATCGAACCCTGCTTACCGGATACGTGTCTGGATCCTTGCCAGTGTTCACAGAGTATATCTTCTTGAAAACCTCGAGAGCCTCTTCCCTTCTGCCTTTTAACAGGAGAAATCGCGGACTTTCGGGGAACGAGAACATCGCTATACAGGCAAGAAACTCTGGCAACGAACAGATCGCTAAGAACACACGCCACGAGTTGATCTCCATGGTCCCGCTTATAAGGTTGATGGTCCATTTCTGGGGTATGATTAGCCACGCGATGCCTGGAACAAAGGCGTGAATGGTGGTATAGAGTAGTATATGTGACTATCTATATACGTATATGCAATTGGTCACAAAGGTATTTAGACACACTGACTTTTATATTTAGTATCTTAAAATATTATTAAAAATACTAGATATGTATATTATATAAAATAATAAATATGTTAAATATACTAAATATACTACGACTTATTAAATGTATTAAATATACAGAGTATTCTATACTAAGTATATTTAAAACTCTATATTACAGATTTCTGACTTCTTCCATTCATTCTCTTCGTTTTTATTTTCATTTTATTAAATAATATAACGTGGGGATAAATGGAGGAATCAATAATAATAAATTTGAAATTTTTAAAATAGTATAGGGAGATACATAAACATGGAATATAAGAATACGAGAGCAGGATATTGAGATTAAAAGATACTCACATGGTAAAGAAATATTTCCAAGTGAGAAGAATACACCTAGCCACATATAGGTTCGAGATCGATGCGTCTCGTTATGCACTTCCGCCAGATAGGACATCAGCGCCGCGTATGGACCAGATATGCTACAAACGTTCAAAATATCTATTGAAATTTGTCGTTGTTAATAATTAAAGATACTGTAAAAATATAACTTATAATTTTACTAACGAATTTAATTAAATTCGTTATTTTAAACAAATTTGTAGAAAATTAAGTTTTGTAGAAGATAGGCTCGTTATATCAACTTACATCACACCATCGAGAAACTTGAACAAAATTAAAAGCCACGAGGTGTGCGAGAAACATGCGGCCAGACTCATGATTCCAGTGAACATGTAACCGTAGGACATAATCTTCTTACGACCAAACGTGTCGGTCATGAAACCCCAGAAAAACGAGGTGCTGATCATACCTGGAACCAGTCGAATCTTTACTGACAGTTGGGTAGTTAGGCTTCATCATTTTTTAATAATAATTCTTTAATAAATCGTCAGATTATATTCACTCGATTCACTCGCTCATTCACGAGGAATTGTCAGAGATTTAGATAAATTTCACTAAATTCTTGTAACACTATAATGATTATAGCATGATTAGTTTTCTTTTTAATTTCAATCTAGAATTCTATTTTTAAAACATTGCTTAATATTCGATTCTTTTTAACGAATAATAAATAATGAAAATAAATGGAGAAAAAATAACGAATATTATAACAAAATAATCAAGAACTTGCTTTAAACCACAACTTTAGATAAACAACCCAGCCCCTCCTCTTTCAAAAACTATCCACGATTAAACTCCCTCGGAATAAATTCATATTTCCAAACCCATTCTCCCTTACCTGTCCAAAAAGAGTCATCAAAAGTCAACTACATTCTCCCCATATACCCCAAATATAAGGACAGAATCAACTCTGAATCATCGACAGTCAAACATCTCGTCGATCTCGAACGATCCCTCATTTCCCATCACGAGGATCGTCGTTCGTGATCAACGCACGATCAAGTACAAGATTGTGTGTGTCGTTTAATTACCATGTCTGTACTCGCACAAACACATTCCCTAACGAGCCGGTAGCGTACACCATGCTTGCGATCTAACCAGAAACTCGAAGCGTATGCGCTTTGACTCTCTGTCTTAAGCTCGACCTGTAATTACAGTACGTGGTTAAGTGAATAAATGAATATACCACCTGCGAACGTCATCGAGTTGAGTAGACCCTTGTCGAACATGGTGAGGCCCAGGTCGCACTCGGCTGACGGTAGCACGTAGGACATGGCTGACGACGAGAAGATGCTGGAGAAACTGGCTGGCAGCACGGCCAACAGTAACAGGTAGTTAAACTTTCCATAACCTGTCGGCAAATTCGTGTTGCAAAGTGAAACTTTTCCAAGAGGTGTCTAAGAGACGTTTAATCAGGCTAGTCTCTGGACGACGAATGTTCCACGCAGTTAAATTAGCCATTCGCAGGATCCCAATCTTAAGTGACCAGCTCGACCTTTGGAATTTTTAAAAATTTTGGCGCCAGGATTATATTTCGAAACCAGCTTCTATTTTTGGTTCTATGGAATTAATTAACACTTTACCGACCGATAGCCTATTTTTAGGCTTTTGGTCATCGATGCTTACCGACTGATAGTCTATTTTTAGGCCTTTTGGTACGTTGCTCAGTTGCGTTAGTTGCGTTGCTTTGTAAGCATTGTAGCGGCCCTAGGACCGCAATGTCCCAGGTCAAGTGGAGGACTGTTTTATGTCCTTAGTGTCTGTCTTTTTTTTTTACAAATTTATCTGAGCATACGAAACGCACAGATACTCCCGTGCGACAGTCTAAACCTGCGGTCGATAAAGTGTTAATTTGGAAAATCAGTGGCTCAAATAGGTAAATCGTAGTCCAAAAGATGACTCCTTATGGCTGACGAGGTATTTATGCTTGAAAATGTTCGTATGATACATTAGATGTTTGAGGATTAGAGAAATTAAGTGGACGGAGAGACAGGCTCGTTTGAATTTCGCGCCTGTTCCTCGGAGCAGGTATGCGGCGGCCATGTTGCTCTCTTTGCTAACGCTTCTGTGAATGTGGTCTCTCGAGACACAAGCCGTGTGTTTGCTTACTTTTTTTCCCTGTTTCGAGCCTTGAAAAGAAGGTGGTTCCTTTGGCGTGGTAATCAAGTGGTCTCGTTTGTTTATTTGGTAGATGTCGTCTGTTCGGAGAAGAGAAAGGTCGAGGTTCTTGGGACATGTCTGAGTCACATGGATGAGTCTCCTTGGCTATGAATTTCCTTCGTTTTGTGCTTTGTATGGTTGTTTTGGGAGATATATGCGAGGTCCAGGTTGTGATAGGTTTGGGAGATAAATTCAGAGTACGCGATTAGGTTTGAATTCTTTAGTTGGGCCTTTCTTTGGGGAAGGAGTTGGAAAGTATAGAAATGGTTGTATAGGTTATGCAAAATGCGGAGTTTTAATTTGTCTGTGAAGTTTTTTGAAGGTGGTATATATATATATGTTAATATTTGTCAATTTTTAATGCACGTGGTGATTAGTGTTATTTGAGATATTAAATATAAGGAAATATTATATTTATTTAATATATAATATTAGATTATATATTAAGTATAATATTTAATAGTATTTATCTAATTTATCAATATTGAATTTTATTAAAATTAATTTATTAGTAATTTTAAATGTATATATACTAAACATAAATTTAAAAATATATAGTATATATGTATTGTAAAATTAAAATAGTTTGCAATGTAGAGGGTGGTCCAAAAGTAAACGAAAATGAAACATTGTTATCTCTAGATTAATTTGCCAGTAGAAATTATAAAACACAAATAAATCGTGGTATATTATTATAATTTTAAAATTGAAATCATTCTTTTATCTATTAGTTTATTCTTTTATTATCCTAATTTTCTCTTTCGAATATAAAATATACTACTCGCGTTAATTCAATGAAAACTGAGAAATTTGCAGACTATAGATTCATCGAAAAAAGAAACTTTTTGGTTCCCTTCGTTTTTAAATTAATCCTCTGTTATGTAAGCTTCATACTAAATTCTCACGTAATTAATAACACGAACATTAATAAACCTTTACATGCTATTATGTGTGAATATCTGTATTCATTATGAAAATTATGCAGGTTAAAGTGGAACAGGTGTTGGTTTAACGTGACTAATGATAATTAATTATTCGCAAAGGTTTCTTGGTTAACATAGATTTGTAAATCAACCTTGACAAGAATCTAGACTCTATACTTGGTGATATAAATTAGATATTCAATAGAAACCAGAGCATAATGAGAATATTTAAATAATTGACTTGAGATAGACAACTATCTGCTTGTTTGAAAATATAATCAATGATTAACCGAATTCACAGCGTGAATCTAAGATTAAAATTAAATAAAAATAAAAAATAAGATAACAATTAATTATGTAATAACTTATGCAATATGATGGAAATGTGACATTTTTCTAAAAATATCTACAGCTTTCCTCATAAATATTTTTCAGTACAATAATCTCGCATTTAAAAAGAATGTTGTTTTTAATTATAATTTATAATCAAATTATAAATTTTCTGACAATTTCATATGTGTAATTACATTTTAAATTAATAAATAATAATGAAAAATTTTCGTATAATATATTAATGTAATACATAAAAATAGAAATGATTATTAGCTATTTTGCTGTCAACAATATTCAGAAAAAAATTCGAGATTATAATAAATTTTATTATATATTGTTTTTATTAAATATTCTTTTATCTTTTCAATTAAAATATTTTCCTTTCAAAGTATTAAAATTATTAAAGTCGTGAAATATTTTATATTAATTTTAATATGAGAAATTGTAAATCATGTACACTTACCAGAATTAATTATTGCCTTTTCGAAATCTGCAGGACCAGACTCCCCAGACTTTACGTCTTCGCCTGTAATGAAATATATAACTAATTGTTGATAATTTTTAATTCATTTTTCATACCATTATCAACGTCACAACATACAAATATATCTTTATCTTTATATTGAAATAATATATTTCTACATTAACATCATGTATTATAATTGTGATAAATTATGCATAAATTATTAAACTTCGTTAATAAAAAGAAAAATAATTAATTTAGTTTAATATACCCTTATAAAAATAATCGAAAGTACTTCCAAAAATCTTTAGTCAGTTTTAGACGTACATTTTTATTTATTTATTGTTTGATAAATTTTATAATATATCGTATATCAATACGATGTATCGTGATATTAATGTAGCAATGTATTTAATAAATATATTTAACACTGGACACTTAAAAAATTAATTGTATAGGTGAAAGAACAACATACATCGCATACGTCTGTAGCTGAACATCGAAAATAAATCAAAGATTCGTTTGAACACCATCATTCACTCACTATATCGATAAAATAAATTATTTATATTAAATTAGCAAATATATTAATTCAAATATCTAGATTCGTTTAAAAATCGATTTTATTTTCAGCAATTAAAATTCGTACAAATTTTCTATTCACGTGGAATTTTCTTAAGCAATAAATTTGCACCAAAAACGTTTCACTTTTCACCTTCCTGCGATTTAGAATTATTAATGTATTACTATCAGTTGCAAATTTATGTAATGACTTAATAACAATAAATTAAAGGAGAATATAATGTAACAGCAAAATTCTTTCAGATATATTGTTCAGAATAATAAAAGCAGCTGAGATATCGAAACATAGGAAAATGAATTAATCGATAAATGAAAAATTGTTGAGAAATCTTCGAAATATATTAAAATGTATAATAGAAATTAAATATTTCTTAAATTGTTGATATAAATATACTATACAAAATTACTGCGATTTTTTTCCGAACGAATATAAAATAGAAACGATTAAATTAATTAGATAAATTATGAAACTGATAGGGTTTAATGAAACCTAAAATCGAAACACTGTAACAATTTATAGTACTATAATAAGTTTCAATACGACTAGTTTTAATGACGAGACGATGACGATGAAAGTCTAACTGAAGAGCTACCAAACAAGACCATATTCCAAGCTGAATGCTTGTTTACACTGATAGATCGTTAGTTCAGTGTATCTATACAAAAAGTGTTCTAACGAGGTGTCTGAAATTTTATAAATTCTTCTAAATTGTGTATTTCCAGATGTAATTGAAAAACATATTTATTTGTTTAACGTTTAATTGGTTAAATTAATTTTTTACTTTATTCTTCTGTTCTTCCATGAAAAATTAAAAAATTTCGAATTCATAAATTTGATTGAGTTTGATTAAATTTTGTAATAAAATTTTAATTTTTATTATATATATAGTCTATAGTGTCTTTTACGTAACGAGAATTTATTTAAATATACATGCATCTTAACTGCTTTAATTTTTATGCATATCCTATTCAAAAAGATGGCTCGTTAAGTAGAGCTTATCAGCTGTGAAAGGAACGAATTAACGTTTGCATTTAAAGTATCATAATTGACATTTGACGTCTTGCTTGGATTGGAAAAGTACTGAATCGCCTTAATAAAAGGCACATAATTGACATATTCATAACGACGATATAAACACGCAAACAAAGAAATCTCACGTTACTGCCATAAAACTTTATGAACCACTCTGAACAAATTTAAGAAGTGTATAATATTTTTGTTTCATCGAAATAAAATTATTTTCTCTTCCCACTATCTCCAAATGAAACGAAACTCTCAATATGTCCAGAAAATGTTACAAATTTCTCGTCTCGGAGACGTCGATGTTTACAATGACATAATAAACAAATAACGTAGCTCAGATATCTTCGAATAACAAAGAATGAAGCAATACAATTGTTACAAATTTCGCATCAGCAATTCAGTGATTCATACTCGTTTCAAAAGAAGCATCCTTAACCTCAAATATCAGTAACCCCAATGAAACTGCAAATTTCCTCGTTATTTCCCCTATTGACGATCTATTAAGCTCTGTTGATTAAGAATCGAGCATTTGTCTCTTTATTTTATCTCTACTCGTTATATTCTAGCATTCTGATCGCATAATCTTATCGTTCAGGGTAATTAAACGATATAAATGACCTCATTGATGCATAATTTATTTGAACTTTATCTGGCTATCATTGAGAGTATGGGGGCGCATAGTGCAACATGGCGGTAGTAAATTGACTAGATCGATAACGGGAGAATATTCCGCGCGCCGCGAGAGGCGCTGCGGAGTTCGTGCAACGTTGCAGATAAATATTAATAAACCCATTATCCTTCCTTGATTGGTGTGTTTATCATAAATGATTGATTATTCTCTAGTAATCAATGCTGTGTTCCTTGGATGTCGTAGAAAACTCGTCATATGACAATTATATCATAATAATGCAGCGATTAACCGTTACCGTGGTATATAATGGTCGATACTCACAAAGATCGTGACTTTGATTAATTACCAAAGTCCTATTATTTTGTGTATGTATGTATGGAAAATTAAGAGTTAAGTGTTTTAACACCAAAATTTTGAAAAATTCTATAAATAGAGTTGGTCTTTTTGACCTGTGAGTGGTTTATATATTTTATTGCTCTTTTTTTTTGGTGTTTATGTATACTTTGCACAGGTGAAGTGTTGCTTATATCCTTTTTAAACTGTATCATAGAATTTCATGTCTTCTTGCCTAAGTTTCGGATTTTATTAATGTTATTCGTGGGAATGCAATTATCGAGGAGAATATTTGAAAAGAAAAATAAATTTCACGTGGAAATTTGTCAAGCTTCCATGGCCTAAACTATTTACCAAAAATTTCGATTATGGTCCATTCACGTGTCAATTCTTGTCATTAAGTTCGAAGATGCAACAGTTACGTAAAAGAGTTACATGAGAGAATCGATTGATCGATTATAAAAGATCTCTATTTTGTGACTCATTTTGACATTACAATATTGATTATGATCATCTTAAGGATGCACTGACATCACCAAGTTATAAATATAAACAAACCTATAGTGCTCTCATGTTGAACACAAGACAACTACCAGAATAGAAATTCAGATTGATATTAAAATTGGAAGTGGAATTAATTAGCAGGGAGAAACAAATTTAATTTGAGATTATAATTGCGAAAAAGAATTAACATATAAACGAGTTTTAGGTTATGTTTATAATACTAGTCGTGACTAATATGTTTAGTTCAAGACACGAGTTTTAAATAATTTGAAAATCGAGATTATCATGAATATAACTATGTTTATCAAATCTACGATGAAGAAATGAAGATGTAAGTTTTTAAGCTTACTTTTAATTGATAATTAATTGTATTTCTCATCTTTTTGTTTAAAATTATGTCAGGCTAGGATAGATTAAAATTGTAAATTTGGAAAAAAGATTTCTATAGTATTTTAATTTTATTTAAATTGATAATGTTATCTTTATCAACCTATGCAAGATTAAAGTTAGAACGTGCTATGTACAAATTAAAGAAAGAAGAAAATAAAATCATAATGCAATTGTGTTATGAAATACTGTCACTGACATATTACTGTAAGTAATTCATAACACTTCATTGTCAACAATTTTTATTAACTTTTTATTAATTTTAATTTGGAGTTTCCGATATAATTTTCAGGCATTTTAATTTCGAGTTCTAATAAAAGTTTCATTAATTTTAATTTTGAGTTATAATGAAAGTTTCATTGATTTTAATTTTGTGTTATAATAAAAATTTCACTGATTCCAATTTTGAATTCCAAATAAAATTTATGTTTATCAAATCTAAATTTGTTTCATTACACTTTTTGTTAAATTTAAGTTCAAGTTAACAGTACAATTTACGATATAAATCGTATAAAATCCCAATTTATCTTCATCTGATCCAATTTTTATTTACATATACCTAGACATCAAATTTTTCGCAATATTGCTTTCTATCTCAGTTCCTCGTACATTTTTATATCTAACCTAACCCGACAAGTTTCTGTCATAACAGAATTTTATCATTTACATTACTACACGTAACGAGTTATGAGTTCACGTTTCGAGTTATTAATACAATTTTTTTGCAGAAAAAAATATCTATTGTTTGTCCGTGGAAACGTACCATTAACTTCAACATAAAGCGCGAAAGCTGAAATTTTACGTGACTTTTAAAAGAATTCGAGTCGCACGCGTTACGTGATTTCCTCGTTTTTCAGTTCGGCTTACGGTAAACACGATAAACGGAAAAACAAAACATATTCACGCGTTTATTTCTCGCAAACTTATTTTCACTAGCAACGCCATTTTCATCCTTTCATATATTGCCAATATTAAACTTCTTGACTAAAGAAACTTTCATTGTCAGTCGCTTTTGAAATTCGCGGGTAAAAAATTTCATCCCATTTAATACTCATCAAAAAAAGGATCATACAATTTATTCGAAAAATTTATATTAAGAAAAGTCACGTCGAAATTCTCGTCTAATCATTAACAATTTTTATCTATTCAAATTCTCACATAAATATTATAATTATTAGTAATTCTGGAATTTTGCATATTTAAATACGTTTGCAAAAAGCAATCGTGACTTAGAATTATCTCGGATTCAAAAAATGTCCGTGTCAAAAATATTTTGCCTTGTTATTGTCGCTCGTATTAATTTTAATATTAATAATACCGAATCAGAAATTAATTTTCACAAATCGTAAAATTCATCTATAATTCATCCATCGTCATTTGAGCATTCCCAATTTATCAAGCTATAGGTCATGAACGGTACTTTTAATATCCATGAGCGAAGAAAATAATTTGTTCATAAAAATGAAAATTCAAGTCCAAAGAGACCCTCCACCACTCCACGAAACTTGCCTCTGTACTTCACCGACGAATTCATTAAATATCCCTCGTGTTTCCCTCCTTGGTCCTGTCGATCCTTCAGCGAAACGTTTGTCACAGGGAAGAACTGTCACACACACCAGACAGAATCTCGGAAAACAACCTGTCGTCCCTATCTTCTCACGAAACTTAGGCAAACAGGGGTAAATATCGTGCAGAGAACTGTGCCAAGGAAGCGAAGAACAAGAAACGAGAGAACAGGGATAAGATAGGGAGAAGGAAGCAGAAATCGTGGCTGCGCGCTGGCAATAACTGCGTGTGCCGTGAGGAGTCGTGAGACGGAGCGTAGTTTCACCTGCACGCACCGTACATGCCTGCCGCGAAAGTACAATTCGAGCTAAAATCAGACGAACGCAAAAGCCACCTGCGGTGTGTATGTAAATCCCACTCCTGGTGGGGCGAAACAGGTTGTCCAAGCAAATCGTACGAGCGATAGGCAAAAAAAGGAAAAGAATCAGCTCCACCCGCACCAGCCAACTCAGTCGCCATAATGTCTCGTTTAGAGTTAGAGACTTTGCCCGAAAATCCAGCCTTCCAGATTTCAGAGCTAGGCCAGTTCTTTGGTAGACCACGAATTTGGTCATCACGATGTTTTTTTTATTTTTATGAAATCTGCAGAAAAATTAGGATTTTTAAATCTTAGTGCTGATCCAGTTGTTTGCTAAACCACGAATTTCGTCGTCACGATGCCTCTCTTATCTCTATAAACTCTGCAAGAAAATTAGAATTCCTAATGTCTAGAGCTGGTCCAGTTGTTTATAAAATGAGGAGTTTGGTTACCATAGTGTCTCTTTTATTGCTATAAATTCTGCATGCAAATTAAGGCTTCCAAACTTCAAAGCTAGTCCAGTTATTTAAAAGACGAAGAATGTGGTCACTATAATTTTTCCTTTATTGTTATAAATTCTATATAAAAATTGGGATATCTAAATTTTATGGTTGATCTAATTGTTCATAAGACGAGAAGTTTGGTCGTCATGATGTCTCTCTCACTATAGGGGACTGTGCATGAGTATTGAAGCTGATTTAGAGACTGTCTAGGAGAAACTCCTCAGTTCAGTGGATTTCTGTACTTGCTATTGATGTCGAGGTTGTAGTCAAGGAGTAAGGGGATAGGATATAATCATTTTAATCATTTTCTAGATCAATATATTTTGGTATAACTATTGCTGATGGCTATTTTGATTATGCAATTGGTCATATTATCCTCCCTGATGAAAAATCGAAATGTGAACATTAAACTATGAGGGATATTAATTATATGTTAAATACATCTATGTCACGAGTTAGATCCATCAGTGGTACATGTCAATATATATCGTTTATATATAAGTATATCGTATATAATACATTTATTAAGAGGAAATACAATCGTAGAAAACCTCAATGGATGAAGCAGAGAAGAAACTTACAGTTTAGCTGATAAACAGATTAACTTACTTTTACGTATTTTAGCATGTAAAAAACTGCTTAATGACTGGGTGTGATATGATAATTTTTCAGTTGTAAGCCTCTCGGAACGGAAATGAACAGCATCGTTGGAAAGATCATATACCTGATAAAACTAATTAAAGCAAAATTAAATGGTTTTTCATCATTGATATTTTCGTAGAATACCATTAATTGGAAAAATATTTCGATAACGTAGTTTACACGTGCTGTATGCTATTGTATATACTTACTGTAATTGAGAATCTGAGATAGAAATTTTTTTTACAATCGATTTTTTCCCCCAGTGTTCTTTTTTTCCTATTCGATGGGAAATAACGAGAAGCAACATCTTTCTTCAATGGGAAGTAATATTAATTATTATTTTAATGAATATTTATCAATACGTGTCCTTAAGTTTGAATTATTTCTATTTTATTTTCTTACTTTATTGCAAAGTATTATATTTTCTCAATTTTTTATTAATTATCGAGTATTTCATATCCTATGCAGCCTAAGAGTTTCATCCTAGTTTTGTGGCGTTTTCAATCTTTTCAAACGTGTTTTTATTTGATTATTTATGTGTTTTTCGTTTCAAAGAATTTCATAAATTTAAATTTACGATTATATAAATTTATTTAATATATTATATGGTGCAAAATATTTGTAATTAGCGAGATTGGCGATAAAATCTTGTGACACGAAGCTATAAGTACTTACACGTAAGTAAATGTACATAATTATTTAAACATTTATCTAATTTGTACAAGCAGATAAACAACGGTATAAATAACTTGATACTGTTGGAGGACAAACTTTTTTCTGTTTTTACTTTTCTTTTATTTCTCCTATGACACACGAAGCATACAATTATCGATAACATGTTTAAAGAATTTCTATATTATTGTTTTAGTACGAATCAGTAAAATATCATAATGTCACTTAATATTTTGTGAGAAATGCAATTAAATCTCTGCTTAAAAGAAAAATAGGTACATTATAATTAAAATATTTAATTAGATTCGTTCGTTTGGGCTATACTCGATTAAAATGAACAAAATTACGTAATGAAAAAATAAAAATATGGAAACTTTAGGTTTTATATGAATATAATGACACCATAATACCATGATGCCATGAATTCCATATAAAAATATCCATCGTTTCACTCAAAAATATATATTAAAAACACCGTGGAATTATTAATTAAAAAAATTAATATCTCACACAAACCTTTATATAACATAACATAAATTTATAAAATAACATAAATTTTCCGTGAAAAATGATCTATAATATTTATATAATATTTCACTTCCTGGTCCAAAAATTTCGACTATTTTAATTCGTTGTTTAATTTGACTCTTCGTGAAACACAAACATAGTATAACCTGAGAAGGAAATCAGCCAGGACCTGTTCTCTTCTGCATAACACAAAACCGCATAACAAGATATGAAAAATGCCATCCAATAAGCATCCTCGATTCTGAGGTCAAATGCCTCGGTCCATGCGAACGTTCTGGTCCTCCACACGTTGGCACAGAATTTAGAATAGTCCTGAATGCGAGAAAAAGAATAGTATTAATAATATATTTTCAAAATATTGCTACTTTTAATCCCATATTTCTATATTACTTAAAGTTGACTTTTCGAATTTTTACTGATCCTGTTTATTTAATTAGTCTTCCATGTGTTATATCATGGCATTGACATGGCTTTTGTGATTTCTAGTTGCTATGATTTAATATTATTGCAATATTCGTATATTATTACAATGAAACCATAAAATCGAAGATAATAAAATCAATAATTAATAGCATGATCAATGCAGAGTATTTTAGTTAGTGATGTCAATCCATCACAATCACGTAAATTATGAAATATTGTTTCCTCTGAAAATATTTATGGTATCTTGGTTTATCTTGTGATGCTGAAGCGCAAATGCAGTTATAGTTTATAAAGAATGTGTAAATCTTCGAATTTATTATTAATAATTTTCAAGACGAAAATTCATAATAAAAGTGAAAAAATTAATAAATTATTGGTTATTAACACGGAGAAATAAAAATTATATGAGCGACGCGACGCAGCAGAACTCATTTGTCGGTTCGGTCTCTCGAGTGTAACATCTAAATTTTCGTAGTGCGCGGGGGGTGGGGGTCCGAAGTGAGGTTGGGGCTAGCCACCCCACCCTCATCCTACTTCATTAAATAATTTTTTTTATTTTCAGCTATTAATTAATTTTTTCTTTCAGATTTTAATTATTTTTTATTTTTTCAGGTATTAATTAATTTTTTCTTATTTCAGATATTATATTTCGATTCCATTTATTTTTATTTGACAATTCGAATGTTTCGTATAATATTCGAATGTCTCATCGTTAGGATGTTTATATCTCATCGTTGGCATGTTTATATCTCATCGTTGGGTTTTCATGTCTTATCGTTGGGTTCTTCATGTCTCATCGTTGGGTCTTTCATTCCATTTAATTGATTTTTATGGTTTATATTTGTTTGAATTTTATTATGTTTTACTAAGCATTTACTAATCTCTTTTTTTTCAGCTTTACAGGTTTTTCAAGACCTCGTTGTATGAGTGCGTTTAGATCTAAGTAAATCTAAGTAGTCATAAGCTAGATGACTAGACTAAGTCTCATGTGCGCGCTATCAGTACAAAGGCAAACTACCAAACTTGGAGCGAAATATATCAATTTTCTATCCCCCTCGTTTACCAAATAGAACATAATTGTTCTCGCGATAATCGCGATTGTTCTTAAGTACCGACTAGCCTATGCACGTACTTTCCGTGTACTCGTCAGCTTCACGCCTCGTAAGTCATCCTCACGACTCGTCTCCACTTCTGCCACTATCAATCTCGTCATGCATCGAGATCTCTGGTGGCCCTCGGGCTGGTGAGGCATCTGGGGCAACACGGGGGTCCGTCGACCTTAGTCGTCCAGGGTGCCAATGTTTGCATAGAGCCGGGGTATAGAGCAAGCGCGTGATTCCGACTGTTAGGCCTCGCATAGGACCCTCGGATTGTTTCTGGGTGTTCCATTGATTCGTTGGCTGCCTTAGGTCATCGAGTAAGCCATAGCGAGGTCGGCGGCGGCAGGGTGGGCAAGGCCCGATCTGGAGGGTGCAGAGGTGTGAAGTTTGTCTTGTACACGGGAGTGCGTCGCGTAGGCTAGCCGGTCTTTCGAATAATCGCGAACCCTTCGTAAGACACGAAATTGAATAAAGTGTCAGTAGATTTTCACTTTAACTTCTTTCACTCCAAGTTAAGTTAGGGAACCTTTGATACTGATAGCGCCAGCAGGCTGCGCCAATAGGGCACATGTCGGGTCTCGTTGCGTAGCCACCTCCACGTGGTGAGACCTGGTAACTGGTATCGTTTTTCAATGAATTATTTTTGAGAACGATACCAAGCTAAGAGCTACGCACAAAGTTTAAAATATTTTCTATCCTTTGTAAATTTTCGATACTTCGGTTGAACATTCGACGATTTTTGAGGCTGTGAGAGATAAGTGAACGGAATTTTTGTCTACAGTTATAGTATAGTTCATACAAATGTATAAATAATCAAATTTCTTATTAATAACAAATTGTTCATAGCGTAAATTTATAACACAAGAAAAAAATTAATTCATTGGTTATTACTTGAATAATATCATACTAATTTTCAAATGTACCTATAATTTGCAAAAATGTAAAAATTATTGCACTTATTTCTAATAACAAATTGTTCACAACGTAAATTTATAATACAAGTGGAAAAATTACTAAATTATAGGCTATTACTAGTATATACAAAGTATTTGCGTGAAAATGCATCTATAATTAACAAAAAGTAAATGAATTAACTACACTTATTGTTAATAACAAATATTTTGCAA